GAATTATGGTGGAAAAATTTCATATTCCAAATTATTTCCATCGCTTTAGTATACCTATGTATACAGGGTTATTCATGGTAGAAGTTAAAAAAAATGTACGGGTTTCTGAGGAGTTGAGAATCAATAAATTAAGAAGTCATCTGGGAATTCAAAAGAACCACTTTACCCCATGCGCAACAAAATTTCCAGATTCCTGTTTAGGAAACCCTGAAAGTTGTAATGAAGGTCTATTGTGAATAACCCCGTATAACAATCTTCCAGAAAACTACACTGAACCAAAAAAGTACGTGCAGATAATGAAAAAATACATTAATCCAAGAAATTTTTACATTAAAAGTCGTCCAATAAACGATTTCATTAAATCAATGAACGTTTGTTCATTAAGCGATGAAGAGGTACATTAAGTGATGTATAATTCGTTGATATGATGAAATGAAAATCATTGTTTCGATGAATTAAAGTTGCTGACCCAATAAAGAAGTACATTAATTCAATGTAATATTTTACATTGGTTTAATGAACGGTGTACACTGATTCAACAAATTTTAGATTTTTTCTAATAAATGTAGTACATTGATTCAATGAAATGCTTTCATAGAATCAATGAAACTTAGATCTTGGTTTAATGAATTTCTTTTATTGAATTAAGGAATTTTAGCTTTTGAATTAATGAACGCAGTACATTGAATTAATGAATTTGATTTATTAAATTAACGAATTTACATTTTTTGTATTATTGCTAGAAGAAACTGGTCAATCTTCGAAGAATTATTTTCGAATTATTCCATAAAATTCTTTGCATCATACGCTGGGGCGAAATCCATATCGATCTAAAAAAAATTATGGGTTAATATAGTAGACTGTAAATTCCTATCTACATATCCAGTAAGTAACAAAAAATTAATTGCAACATAGGCTATGGGTGCAACAAAGATAACTTCAATTAGACACTTGTAAAGGAAAAAGAAACAGTATGATATTATGTCATTGCAACTTTTCACTCTGAAAACTGTTATTTTACTAATATTTCTTTGTTCAACTCATAGAAATGCTCATGTTGCAATCGCGAATGAAGCACGGTGTATAGGTAGGTATACTATTGAAGGTACTCACCAAGCTATATCCAGATGGTCGTTTGTAATAAGTTCATTTTATCATCTGAATTTTCGTGCGTTTTTTATGTCACTCAAGCGAAGTTCCAATACATGCTGCATAGGTCGAACTCTTCCGATGATAAATTTTCAAACTTCAGAAGTCTTATGCACGTTTCACAAATGTCTTTGGGGCCTAAAAATTTAATATATCCAATAATTTAATGAGTTGTAGTAAAAACCATAAAAACTTACACACATTTTGTATGAATCTTGAAGTTGTTGCACTTATATCTCCCTTAGGCTTTACGTTTGTGTTTAAAATTAAATCCTAGAAATAAAATGTATAAGTATTAACCTATAGTGTACCGAATTAAAAAATGCTTACCTCTTAAAACAACAGCGCTTGAATTTTCTTCCTTCTTATAATACAAAACGAAAACGAAATTAACTAAACAGAACACTTCCAGTTCAACGCTTCAACACGAAATAACAGGAGAGAAAGAGGGGTAATTAACGGTCATCGCGATTTTCGAAAGCGTCTCTATCTTTTTCTTTTTTTCTAATAGAATAGAACGGCATAGATTTGCACTCTAGTGTGTATTGCCAAAATCCAAACTGATATTCATTGACTTAATGAAAAGCGTTCATTAACTCAATGAACTCGAGACAAGAATTTACGTATCCAGTTTGTTGAATCAATGTACGGGCTACATAAAAAATTGCGAATGTGGTTTATCGAACCAATGTATATGCATTCATTGTCTCAATGAACTCGAACATAGAATTTATGTATTAGATTTGTTGAATCAATGTACGGGCAACATTAAAAATGCCGAATGTGTTTTATCGAACTAATGATGTATATGCGTTCATTGGCTCAATGAACTCGAACATAGGATTTATGTACTCAATTTGTTGAATCAATGTACGGGCAACATAAAAAATGACGAATGTGGTTTATCGAACTAATGTATTAATGTTTTTGGTTCAATAATTAAATTTCATTAAAAGAATGAACAATTCGTTATATTAATGTACAAGTTACTTTGATTTAATGTATCGAATACATTAACTGAAATATTCGCTTTTAATGTACTAGGTTATTATATTAATGATTAAATTTCATTGAATTAATAAAAATTGTTATTGAGTTAATGAAATTTTACATTAATAATTAATGTTACAAGAAACATTGAGTTAATAAATGAATTCATTAACTAATGAATGAAAATTTATTGGATTAATGTATTATTTTATTGAGCTAATGAAAACAAGTTGAAAACATGGTGTTCATTGATATTATGTACCAAAATTTTTTCAGTGTATTCGAGTATATAAAGTAGGTGGATAAAAGGTGGTGGATTTCGTGGAAAATCATAAGTTTTTCACTTTACTCTGAGCCCGTCGCCATCGGAAAAGCTGCACGTATTATTCCCGGCCATAAAAACTTAATAAGACAGTATTTCTGTCGGAGCCCGCAGGAGACGCGAAGAAGATTAAATAAATATAGCGAAAACGGCGGGGACACGGCGGGACGGCGGTCCTGCAATTTCCTGCCGTTCCCGAAACGCCAAAGTGCCTCTTTACATCCCGTTACGGTCAAAGAAATTACAAAGGACGCCGATAAGACCGTACAAAGACGCTTTGCTTTATGATAGAAGGCGATATCATTACGGGCGTCACCGCGCGGCCTGTTACCTTTTCGCCTCGCAGCCATAAATTCGAAATAGTTATTCCGCGCCTGCTGATTTTAAATGAGTTAGCTCGCAAAAGATTTCGAACGGCTAAGGGGATTCAATTACGGCGGCGCGGAAGCCCGTTAAAACCAGTTTTCTCGTAAACGTTAACGTTTATATTATCTATATACTTATTCCAACGTTCAACCCGGAATATCAGAGGCGGCAGGAACTTTGAACTCTTTCGGGAATTACTATTATTGTAGGCATTATTATTCTATACAGGGCAATTTTTCGGTAATTGCGCCTATTTATATACGAAGAACCGTTTGATATATATTTTTATGGTAGAATTTAGGATGCTTAACTTATCAAACCTCTGACATTTCTGACATTTTGGGTTATACTGAAAATGCCCATCAATTTTATTATTTTATATCTCTGTATAATGTTGAGTTTAAGGAGTCCTCATAAAATGTCCAGTATAACCTTATTAATATTTACGATCATTTTATTATTTTCATGAATTTTCAAGGAGTTTGAGATTTTAATTCAATATAGTAAATAATTTCGCGAATTAGCTATAATCCATAACATCTCCTATAAAATTAATTTGTAGATGAACAGATTATGTAGGATCTTTAGAATTAAATATAGCATAGCCATAGCATAAGCATAGCCCAGTTAGGTAATTGGCAATCATACCTGATTAATTATTCATCACCGATAATCTAGGATTGAATGATTGATCAGCACCATTTCGAAGAAGAAATAAATGTATTGGAAGACATCAACTGCATATTCCAACTTTCTATTGTAACATAGGGGTTATGTTAGTGCCGCAACATCTGCATTTTTAGTTCTTTTTTTCTCTGATATGTACATATAAAGCGAAACCGTTCGAGCGATAAAACGGGCCGAATAACTTCATAGAACATTAGCGGAGTTATAAAATTTTCGTTGATAGTTCAACTTTCCACTATTCGCCTTATTTCGAAATTAAAACGTCGCGAGCATTAAATGCCCGAACTAATTACGGTTTCGGGCGTAATGTACTGCGAAAGTAATTTCGGTTTTATTGTCAACCGGGAAGTTTAAATACGGGCCCGCGAATTAAATTATTGTCCCCTCCATATGCGGCTTGTTTGCGGTTTAATTTCTTATATTACTATATTTTTAGCGGCGCTTTTAGAATTTTCAGGTAAATATAATTCAACAAAATTCAGTCATGTACGAATTGCTCACAATGTAAATAGATGACTGCTATGTAATTTTAATTAAAACTAAATGGTAGGTACTTCTAAAAGTCACTTTTAATCGTTTAAAATTTTAACCACAATTTTATGTAATAATTTTTTTATGATTTTGAAAGTAAGTGCCTACTTATATTTTTATATTTTAAGCAGAAACTTTTGAAAATTTTAAAGTTTTTTTAAAAACCTTTGCTATTAAAATATTTTGATGTCTTATTTAAATACCTAGATTTAAATTGACTTGAAAACAAAAATAATCTGAACTTATTTAAAAAACTACTATGAAATATTAATAAAAAGTCCCAAAAAAAGTAATGTCACTAGGTTTTCCCGAAATTATTACTATAGGTACTTTCAATAATCCCTAGATCTAGTAAAATTCCACTAAACCTGATAACATCGTATATGTATGTTAAGCATTAATTTAATGAAAAAAAAAAGCATACGAAAAACCCAAATGTGAATAAAACATTTTTAACAATATCTAAACCTTCATTAGCGCATTATAGGAGGCGCATCCAGGGTTTTCAGCAGTTTCCCTCATCAATATTAATATAACGACTCTTTGTTTCCCCGATAATTCCTCGCTTCCGGAGTGGCAATAGAAAAAAACGCTGAAAGTATTACTGAAATGCAGAAATGCATAAATATCGCACGCAATTTGCATGGGCGAACCGGCGAGTTCTGTTCGATTTAATGACTGGAATTACGGCTAAAAGAACCAAATGTGTAATAAGAGAGGCGACGTTTAATATTTTTTAACCAACAGACCAAGTTTAGATTTAAATTTATTATGAAAAATTAAATGGAAACAGTGTAAATAACTGAAAGCGAGCATTTTAAAGCTTAAAAGAATTTGTTAAATATCTTATATCTTAAGATTATTGTACTCAAAGATTACATTTTCTCGAGAAAAACCTAATTACCAATAGGCAAAAAGTTATACTAAACCAAAATTTTCAAACAAAAATCCTTACCTTATCACCAATTATCTTTGGTAACTGCACTCCTTGATTGATGATACCTGAAAAAATAATTTTAACAATACTTTGCATATTAAAAAGCATTAATTAAGAATTAGAATATTATTAAGTCACTTTTTCCTTATAAAAAGGCTGACCTATTAAAGTATATGATCGAGTAATCCAATTAGAAATCCCATAATAATTTTTTACAGGTAGGTTGGTACTATGAATGGATCAATCAGCAAGATGATTACCGTATAAATGATTAGTTTGCGGGGCCATCAAGAGGATGAAACGTTGGGTGATCAATTATTATTATCAAAGGCCTAATAACGCTTTCTACAGGGTGATTGTACGAGCGGATTTCCATTGAGCGATAAAAGTTAGTAAATTTCTGCTGTAGCAAATTTTCTTTTCGCTCTCTCGACTAACTAGGAAACGACATTTTCAGGTGTATTTCGTTCGATATAAAAGCTCGGGAGTATCAGAACGGTAAATTGAATAAAGTGCAGTCGACGCTGAAATTGGGGTAAAGTTTTCAGCATCTACATTGATGACAGGCATTTACTAGAGTAGATAATAATACATTTAGGAGTTCATAAATAATTGAACTACTTTTCTAATTGTTCTAGTTTTGGTAGTACTTGTTTTAGTGATATTCAGGACATTGATTTGTCTATAGGGTAAAAAAATGGATTATTTTATACCCCTGGATTTACGGAAATAATTAATAGGGCGTGGTTCTTTAGATACAATTGTGGGATCTGAGCTCTTCCAAAAAGTTATTGCCTATTAGAATTATTTGAACAAATTTTTATCTCAGAATTTCTTAATTTTTGTCAGTTTCTAAATGGCTTCCAGATAGAATAATATTGTTAAGTAAAAGTAATTAATCTTTATTTTTGAAAAAAATACTATAAAATGAAGGAATAACAACAAAAAAATTAAAATCCAGAAGATAAAAAAAACATGAAAATACTCCTATAAAGCATTGAAAATTATTTTTCTTTAAGAACCCAGAAGATTCATTAAAAAATCATCAAAAGGGCTCAAAAAATCCCTAAGCAAAGCAAGGACGAACAGCCATAAAATTCGCAACTCCAATTTAACATACCTAAGTACAAAATTTTAACCGGTGCTCGTCTTTTTAAATAAAATTCCGTAATAAATCGACGAAAACGGTTGATTAAACGGACCGCCGAACGGAGCGAAAAACTCCGGTTTTTCAATACGCCCCGGAGGATTCTCTCATTTTCTATATACTCTATTAATGTCACTTGCAAACTCTCCTTAACTTTATTGTAACTTACTGCCGACTGACACACACTCGACCCGTCTCCCGGATTACGGCCCCACGGGGTAATATTTTGTTTTCTATTCTACTTCAACGCCTCTCTGGAAAAATTTATACCGGTCGAGATGGAGGGTTAGCATGAAAAAGTCATAGAATTGATGCGCCTGAGACTGAAACCTCACCTAACTTATACTGAATTTTACTAGATGGGAGATGGAGTGTCGAGATTCTGTTATCCCATTATCATGTTATTAAATATAAAACTTTAAAAATTTATTATTTAAAAGTATCTTTGCATACACATTGTGTCTTGAGAACAGTTTTTATAAACTCGCTTTATCCTATTCTATTTTTTTTTTGTAATTGTAACTTTTTGTTAAAGAAGTTAGCCTGTATAGTATATGCATTAATACGTTGAAAGTTTCCCTCGCCACCTTTCGGACGAGTCTGGTGGAAAATCCGAAAAATCGGCTAAAACTTTTATTCGAAAAAATCTTATTTCGCAACGTACACTCCCGACGTTGTATCATATGTACAGGAAGTTATAAAAAAGGCATTTGTTCGCGAATTCGTATTATTTCGACGGGGGCGCGCGGAAAAGTTGAAATTGCAGCATGTGCGGCGGCGACCAACTTAGATTGGGTTTTTATGTCCGCCCGACTTCCTCAAAACTTCCGACTCCCGCGTTATTTCAATATCGGATCTTTCGGGGTATTGATAGAAATCGCCGAATTCGGATCTTCTACATCCTTTTTTACGCCGAAAAGTGTCCGTCGTAAATTCCGGCTTTTTGACACTTTCGCGCGAAAAGGTTTAATAATTTTCCCGCTCGACGAGCGAATTGAGATCTCCGACAAGCGCCTCTTAATCGTCGAGCAAATTGTCAATTTAATATCTACAGTCTAATCGAATTGATCCTTCTTAAAATTCGCGCCGGGCGAAATTAAGCGAGTTTTCCCATCGTTATTCCGCGCAAATACCTCGATCCTTCTTTTTAAAATTTAAATACACTATCTAATTAGCGTCTATATGTATAGTCTGCGGCGTCGAGGCGCCTTTGCTTCACGTCGCTTATTTCGCAGACTTAAAGCCGATTATAAAGTCCAGAATATCACCATCGGTAATTTTGGTAATTATGTTCAGCACTTCTCGGCTTCAAGGCGAAGCGCTATTTATAATTATTAAGATATACCGAACAGGAAAATCAATTAACCATTTCCCTTTGACTCCGATATACCTATAAATTCGATATGGCAGAATAACAAAAGATAAAATAATAGTACACCCTTTAATATTGACAAGTCTCATTGTGGAGTGCAAATAGATCACTTTTAAATATTAAAATTCGCATCGGCATCGATGTAAATTCTAATGCAAATGTCGGAGAATTCGCATTGACGGGCATATCGATGTTACCCATTACCACATCCGGCAACCGTACCGAATTCCAATTTGCCCGATCAACGTGGAATAATTATGGTCGACTTATGTCGTTTTGCCGCATTTACCTGCTATTTGGATATATGCTAAACATTCTCCGACAAAATGGAACTCTTGTTTTCAAGAAAAAAAGATTATAATCTTTCATTATTTCGTTATTTTGTTTCTTTCATTATTCATTAACATACTCTTAAATGAGAAGTAACGAGTTGAAAACAGTACCTATACGAAACATCCAAATTGAACATATTTACAGGATTTTTTTGTCTTTTTTTACATCTACTATTATACCCCAGCAGTTTGTTACGTGTATTCATTTATATCCACAGCTGAATGCAGTTCCCTCTCATCCTCTAAGTATAAGAGAAATAATCGACGATAATACGAACATTAAGGGGTGAAATTCGCAATGGAAAATCCATAAATAAAGCGGCTAATAACCGCGCCTGTTTCGCGTTGAATTTTCATTCGGAGCTCCCCGGCTTCTCGGTGATATTTGGAGGAGGAATGCTCGCGAATTGGGCTCAGGTGACGTCGTCGGACAGTACTTTGCCGTCGAAAGCCACCCGTCTAAAGTCCCGGAGTGGTTGTCGGGCCAGTTCTCCTGTTATTACCCGACGTCTACCGTGCATACTGATACGCCGGTATTAGTTTTGGACTTGGCATAATTGCCGTCGTCTATTTCCTTTGGGTTATCATTTGGTCGTTAGTAATTAGAGGAGTGGCTGTGCGTCGAAATACAAAGCGGTTTCGATGCTAAAGCATTCATCATTGGATGATTATAGATGAATTTATGCATCTTAACAATTAAAATATATACCTATAATACTGATCTTCCCTTTGAACTAATATTTAGAGCATTAATTCAACAGTTTAATTATGTATTTCTATTATACAAATTAATTTGATTTTTTTTCACAATATATTAATGTGAAATAATGATTTCATTTGTTAAATTTTCCATAATTTTGAACGAAAATATATTCAAGAGTAATAATACGATGATATATGATCTAAAACGCTCAAATAAAACAAAAACACCAAACATAATCGTGTATATTATGTTGTGTTCTTCGTTGCATTCAATCAACCCGAACAATAGAGGCATTTTCGGGGGATTTTTATAACAGCCTCTCAGCGAAAATTGGAATAAATTATTAAGCCCCTTGGCGGAGCTTTCGGGCAAAAAAGCCCCGGCGGAACTAAATCGGTTTACGTGTTGTTCAGGTAGACAGCGATCTTTTGTTCTGTCCATTTAAATTGCCGAGCTTGCGGTCGGAATTTTCCTGAGACGCCCGTCTTCTCCGACAATAAGGATAATTGGGAGAATGAGCCGATAAAATTAACTCGAATTCGCGACATCCCGATCTCACAAATTGACGCTGAAATTAATTTAATAATAGAGAGATTTTCCTAAGTAATTACTATTGCAAATCTTTTTACACATCAATGCATGTTACTTGTAGGTTAATAAGTAAGGAATATTGGGAGAAATCTTAAAAAAAAACAAAGCTAAGAAGGGTTTTATATTACACAATTTCTCTTATTTTTACCCCAAAGGATTGTTCTTCTTCTTCCCCACACCCTGTATCGGGAAATTCTTCGTTTTTCTTTCACATGGGAATTACGGAATACGTGAAATGACAACGTCAAAATTCGCCGTATCATGAAACCAGTTTGTCATTTCCATCAATTTTCGCCAAATTAATATCATGTTAACGAAATTTTCACATCATTAAATTCGCCGTGCACGCACCGCGATCGAAATGGCCGCGAAACCGATCAAATATTCAATTGGCATCGATTTGGGAACGACGTATTCTTGTGTTGGTGTTTTCAAAAACGGTGTGTATTTCATTAACTAATGAACATTAGCCTTTGCTTTCCTCGGGGAGTTTTTTGAAGGTTTTCACTTTTATTTTGCGATACATTTCTCAAGTAATTCAATCGATTTTTGATGGTTTTTTCATGATTTTCAGATTGTCTATCCGTACGTCAATTGTACTGTTTTCGAGTGGTTTTGAAAACCATTTGTAATATTAAAACTTTTTCGAGAAATCATCGAAATTTAATAAATAAACTCCACTACCAACAAAATGGTAAATTAAATGACATCATCATACTATTTTAATTACAAATCCACAAAATCATCAAGCAACTTATTTCTATTAATACCAGATAAATACAGGATGACTCTACTGCATCTACTCAATCGACACACTTGCATACATTACAGGAGCAGTGGAAATAATATCCAACGATCAAGGCAGCCGCACGACTCCCAGTTACGTGGCCTTCAACGATGTGGAGCGCCTGGTGGGCGAACCGGCCAAGAGCCAGGTAGCCCTGAACCCCAACAACACCATCTACGACGCCAAGCGGCTGATAGGCAGGAGATTCGACGATCCGGCCATCCAGCAGGACATCAAGCACTGGCCGTTCGAGGTGATCAACGAAAAGGGCAAGCCGAAGATCAAAGTGACGTACAAAAACGAGGTGAAGACCTTCTTTCCCGAGGAGATTTCCTCCATGATCTTGGCCAAGATGAAGGAAATCGCCGAGGCTTACTTGGAGGACAACATCTCCAAGGCGGTCATAACCACTCCCGCGTATTTCAATGATTCCCAGAGGTCAGCAATAGTGCTTAGCGAATTTCCTTCGAATAATAAGCGTTTGTTGGTAGGCAAGCCACTAAAGACGCAGGAACTATAGCAGGATTGGACGTCCAACGGATCATCAACGAACCTACAGCAGCAGCGATTGCTTACGGTTTAGATAGAAAGGACGATGATCAGGATAAGCACGTTTTGATATTCGATTTAGGAGGTGGTACCTTCGACGTCTCAGTGCTGCTTATTTCTGGGGGGATCTTCGAAGTAAAATCCACAGCTGGGGATACTCATTTAGGTAACATTTTCATATATCTAGAAACAAATAAAATTCTACCTCTTTCCTATTAATTATAATTAAAGGTGGGCAAGATATAGACTTTCGGATGGTACAATATTTCGCCGAGGAGTTTAAGAAGAAAACCAAAGTCGATATCAGCAACAACAAACGAGCTATCCAGAGATTGTCGGCCGCCAGCGAAAGAGCGAAGCGGATTTTATCTTCTGCTAATCAAACCTCGGTGGAGATCGATTCATTAGCCGAAGGGCATGATCTCTACGCTGATATAACCAGAGCCAAGTTCGAAGAGGTATTTTTCGTTGCTCTTACCTTGACCTAGCTACAACTACAATTTTTCTTGTCCAGATTAATAACGACATATTCATGAGGACAATAGTACCTGTAGACAAGGCCTTAAAAGATGCCAAAGTGAATAAAAACCAAATTGAAGATATAGTACTAGTAGGAGGAAGCACGAGGATACCAAAAATACAATTACTACTATCAAATCTGTTTCAAGGTAAAAATCACTTAATATATTTCAATAACGTTTCGTAAGAGTTGGTTTGGAGCACGGGCTGTAATTAAATCGCGAATCTAATCGCCCTCCAGGTTTAATAACGCTAAGTAATGAAGCTGACAGCAAGACGTTTCGACAAATCACCATCATCAAGCCTAAAGTTGCAAACTAGATAAATCCCGGTAATGCTAATCGAGCGCAATTTGCCAAGCATGCACCCCACCACCTGCTCCTAATTAAACTTTCCGAGTTTAATTGCACTTAACATTCTTGCAGGTAAAAAACTGAACAAATCGATAAATCCGGACGAAGCCGTCGCCTACGGGGCCGCCATCCAAGCGGCGATCCTCTCCGGAGAGGTGCACGATGCCGTGAAGGATGTGCTGCTGCTGGACGTCACGCCGCTATCGCTGGGTAAGCTCTAGTTTAAATTACTCCAATTTTTCGTTTATGAACGTTCATTCGTTTCGCAGGAATAGAGACAGCAGGTGGCGTAATGAGCGTGCTCATCAAACGAAACACCACCATTCCCACCAAGCAAACGCAAATTTTCTCTACGTACGCCGACAACCAGTTGGGGGTTCTCATTCAGGTTTACGAAGGCGAGAGATCGATGACCTGCGACAATAACCTCTTGGGGAAATTCGAATTATCAGGTATACTCTGTATAACAATTCTTCGCTTATACGGCTATTGACGAATTGGTGTTTTAGGAATTCCTCCAGCGCCTAGAGGCATACCGCAAATAGAAGTGACCTTCGATTTGGACGCCAATGGTATTCTAACTGTTAATGCCCACGAAACGGCCACCGATAAAAAGAGCAACATCGTCATCACCAACGACAAAGGCAGATTGAGCAAAGACCAAGTTGATAAGATGATTAGAGACGCGGAGCGCTTCAAAGAGCAAGACCAAGAAAAACGTGCAGCCATTGCGGCCAGAAACGAATTGGAATCGTAAGTATAAAATTAATCACTAGCTTTATACTATTTTGGACATGATTGCAAAAACTTTGTACTAAGAAAAATCCTTTTTAACTGCATTCAGTGTGCACCAAGTTGGTACTAGGTCGAAGGTTATTTTACTCGGTGTTTGAATTAACCAACAGGTACGTACATCAGATCAAGATGGTGATGAACGAACCAGCGGTGTCGGCGCTCATCAATCCCGAGGACAAAGTGAAGATAAATACCTGTTGCGACGGCATCAACGAGTGGCTGTCGGACGCGGCCATCAAATCGGAGCGCGACTACGCCATGAAGAAGCACGAGCTGGAGAACATGTGCAAGCCGGTCATCATGCAGATGTACAGCGGCGCCACCGGCTCCCAACACGACTCCGACGACATCGCGCAGGCGTTCAGAGGCGGCGCCCGGGATCAGCAGCCACGTCGCGACGACGACACGGACGGTACCCAAGGTCCTCTAATCGACGAAGTGGACTGAACTGGTGGTGGTACTTTTGACGGTTTCGTTGGTCATTAAATTTCACTCGAATCTTAGTTGTTTTTTTTAAATAGGTTATATTCTCCACTATACTTTGATAAATCTATTGTGCTCTTCCCTTCTTGGTAAAAAATCTCCAGTACCTATGGCTTTCGGTGAGTTAATTGTACTAGTTCCATCAGATTCCCTTTTAATATGATTAGTTTATGATTACTTAGGTTGATGACTCGAGACTTCTGGTACAATTTAATTACCTTTATATGTGACACTTAGGTAGATGAAGACGAAATGGGGTACATGGAAAAACCGTCCGGCAACAATATATCCAGCGAATCTGGCCAGATTGGCAATCGAACTGGATTTTGAGGGAGAGAGAGCATTGTGCTTTTTTCGGGATGAGGATGCGTTCGCTTGCCCGCTTTTGTTGTCAAATCCGGATTGTTTGCTTTTATTCGCTGTATGCTAGGGGATATTGTAATTCCTTCTGTCGTGAGTTAAATAAAAGTGACTCGTTTTGTGCTTGCGTGTACATTTCGGACACAACATGTTTTATGTCGGATGAAATGTTGACGTAGAGTCGAGGACGGTTGAAGATTGGAATTCACGGTGGAGTGTGTTTTGAATGTTTGCAATTGAACGGGCGTGATTGTAGCTTTCTTGAATTGCCGGTTTAAAATTTACACGTACATATACAAACGATCGGGTATGGATAAATCAATTGCGGAATACGCGAACGGGTTTGTTTAATTGATTGATTTCATTCTGATTGACGGTCGTCGGTCTAACAAGGGGCTAAATTTATTCCGAAATTGGAGGCGAAAGTCATTAATTGCCCGGACATTAGTGTAGTAATTACTCCCCCGTAAACAGGAGCTCCTAAACAACCGTCGAGTCGCAAACATCGCTTAATCATAATTTGAAGTTGTGTTGATTATATTTCAAATTACAAGTAAACGCTTTCCACGGTGGTCGGAGGACTAGTTAGGTGTTTCATTAATTTTATTGTAGGCGCGTTAGGGTGGCATTTGACAGTAGACAATTTCGCATATTCCCTGTATAAGTTTGCTTAACAAGAAGAACTAATTATAAGATTACGACGGAATTCTTACTCTATGAAGGGCGCTTCATTAATAATATTTCATGTAGAGGAAAAGAGTCGCTAATTAAATTTTACGACACAATTTAATTCAATCACTGTTACCAAGACTCCAGGAATTTACATTTTCATCGACTATACTATAAGCAGCTCCCTATTATTTCTCCCAACAGAACGTCCGACGAGTAGAGAATTTGTAAAGAGCACACGAGATGTTTAAAATCCTCCAAATTCACGTGCTATTCTACTGGAAATTTTGGTTGCGTAAACATTACAGAGAGTTCCTAAATATTATGCTAAAATAGAAAGTGGCAATTCTTTGACTTGTAAGTAAAATTTCATAAAAATATGGGTAAATATAAATCGTTATTTTAGGGAAACGGGGTGACATCGAACATAAGAGGACTGAAAGTGTACCAAAAATTTTATTAGCTTTGCTAAGAGTTTGCTAATACTTTTTACTAATATATTATATACATCTCATTGTTGTATATTATTAGAATATTTCTTATGTTAAGGATAGTATATGGCAATGTGAGTAAAGAGGTTTTATTGGAACCTCAAATATTGGAACACAATTGGAATAAAAATTTCAGGACGAGAAAATGTAATTCGATTGGTTCGGATGCGATAATGTAGACGTAAATATTCGCGATAACGTGTTGAATTAGGTAAGCAAAAAAAAACGAGGCGATTACACACCATTGCTATAATGTCGACTGTTTGTATGCAATAACACGTCATGGTTTAATCTATGTTATGGGTATGAAAACTAATCCGATTTTCCCGGTGAGCTAACGGCGAGATTTCACGGTAATTATTCTTGGTTTTTGCGGGCGCGAAAACGAAATTGAGTTCGTGCGCCCCATCCAGAAAATTGTCGGTCTATCTGCTGTAATTACGCCAAATTAAATCGATTGCTTTTTGTCAACGATTGAATTAATAGCGCGCTTAAACGATAATTATTCATGATCTTGTCCCGGTAAATATTATAACGTAAACAGCTTTGCTTTATGATAGGTGTCAAATTACTTGATGAATGCATTTCTACTCTATTTTACTGAATGGAAATTATGAATATGTACTCGACGTTGAATGCAAAATACTAGTATACATAGACTGTATAATCAGTTAAATTAAGTGAATCATTTATTCTCTGAATTAAAAGAATCATTTAAAAATCCAAACACATTTATAAGTATAAATTTCACAATTTATTAGTATTTTCGCTTCTTTGAATTCAAATTAAGAACTAATTTTTCTTTAAGCAGCCAATTAGTTTCAGAAACTTGGATTTGCATCGCATCCATTAAGCTTTCCGCTGATCAACAAACCGTCGGACAATTAATTGGGCTCGTATTAAGAAATCCGTTGTTAAAATGTACGATTCGTAAACTCGGCTCCGCTCGGATGTTGTATCCGAAATTTAATATTATAATGGCGAAGTTGAAGTTAGCAACATCCACGGGCTGTCTAAAAGATAAGTTTCGCCTGCAATTAGCATTAATTATTTCACTGTTGGAAGTTTTAAGAAGCTCGCCGGGACAGTTTGCTCTCACCCGGACGCGTTATTAACGTTGCCTCCAATTAGATTCCAATTAGAGGGATTAACCCGAGAGGTTTTAACTCGATAATGCGACAGGTAAGCGCCTCGTTAGTTTATTTTTTGTAACTATTCCATTCCGTTAAATCCGTTTAAATCATGTTCAGTTTTCACCTGCAGACTATTGTGAACCAGTTTTAAGCGAGGAAGCCAGACCAGAGTTTAAGCCATGAATTGGGCAAAACATAAATAGTTTATGCTCTTTGTGTATTCTATTTTTTGCGAATGTTTTTATAATACTGTTAAAGAAATCATGTAAATAATAGGTAGGTATAGGTATTGTAGAGACAGATTATCTGACGGGAAGTTTATTATACTATATTACGAAAAAGAATCCGTCGAGTATCACGGCATAATTCGGATTCGCAAATGAAATGCAAACTTTGCTATGTATAATTCTCTGCGGGTGTTTGCTTTGCCTAATTGGTTCCATTTTGGCGCTTTAAATCAATTGAGCACTTTTTAAGCCACCTGGATGATTTTTTATGAACTAACTAACAAACAAATTAACTAAGATTTTAGTCTGTTTTTATATACAGGGTTTTCTTGAGGCTTGCGGAAACACGATTAGCGTTTGAGCTTTTAGGGACACCCTGTACTTTCTATTTTTTATTGATCGTAAAATGAGAGTTAACTCGAGGGTTTTACGATATACCTACAACCCTTATACGTGTAAAAGTGTGAGGTAACTTATAAAAAATCTTTTGATCTTTCTTTTTAAGATTCGTTATCGTTTCTTATTGCTTAGGTCGCAATAAAAGAGAAATGTTGGAGAATAATTGACTTCCAGGGGAAAGGGGTGTTTTCCATTTTAACATGATATTTTTTAATGTAAATTTTCTTTACACTATGGGAATTAGCGAGATATATTTGGAGATTTTTGAACAAGTTATTTTAAAAGAATTTAGGGGGGGTTTCAAAAAAAATCTCACAATTTAAAAACTGTTTCCTGGTTTTTAATTATTTTCGTGGTCGAATAAGAATCGACATTTTTAATCATTTCGTTCTTAATTTTAAAAATGGACAATTTTGTTTGTATTATTTCTTCTTTTATCCTGTTTACATCCCCCCTAACCATTAATAATCTGTATAAAAGGGGTGGAATTTCTGCCAAAACTTGTTGACATATTTTTTCGTTGGGGAGGACTCCCCTTGGCACCATGCAGAATTATTTGTTAATTTACTAATGTATCTAATGAATGGTATTTATTGATTTATATATTTGTTCCATACGATACGGATGAATAATATCCCTCTCTCCACATGCAAAAAAGGAGAGAGCCAATTATATTGTTCAAATAAACCAATATTAATCCAAAAATCAGCTTTCAATCATACCTAAAGAGCATGGAAAGCATTCACAAATTGTTAGTTCGCCTGTAAATAAATATAATTACTGCATTTATCAGATTAACGTTTTGTAATTACAAACCCCCTACAATTAACAATTAATCCATTATTATTCCAGTGTATAACAATATATTCGACCGTTCGAATACAATAACGGGAATTTAATTTCTCCAGACATCTCCGTGATACATACGTAAATACGTCAGTAAACATTCTGCATGGAAATCGTTGATATGATTTCGCGAAATAGTGAAACGTGCGCTGTAAACATAGCAGAGTTGTCAGTGCATAATGCCCGGCGGCCGGATATTTATGGTCGTGCACAGACTTTAGGTCAATCTTTACAGGCGACCGGGATCTGCAAAGTAATTAATCGTTTAGCGGATGATTTATCGCGGAATTTCAATGCGCATTAACCGCAAACGGGCCTTTCCGGGGCTCCTAAAGAAACCGAACTAATCCCCCTACAAACTAATTGGATTGTCTTTTTGCTCCCGATAAATTTATTCGTCTCGACTTAATATTTACTACACGGAGTCGCCTTTGTATATTTCGTTCGATACGATTCGATCGTCAAATCAGCGTGAGTGGAGGGTCGTGGTTTCAAAGCGATGCTAATCGAGTACTAAAACTAGGAATCCGGAATCGGCGAATTCTTTGGGGTATATTTTTCCGAACGGCTGAGGTGGAATGAATCGAAAATCGAAGCATTAGAAAGGGTAGCCAGAGAATAGGTAAGCATACATATAGGATAGTTTCTCTGTTAATAGAGGTAAAAAACTGTATTCATGAATAGGAATAACGGTGTATATGTTGCCTGTGCGAACCTTCAAATAGTCCTTTATGTACAATTTTTACAGGGTGTTGTGAAATTAAATTAAAACTTTTAAGATTTCCTTTGGTCATTCTGAGTTTATACCTTTTGGCAGCTTCTTATATAGGATTTATTGGTGTTAAAAATTAAAAGAATAACCATATACTTACGTTGATAATCTGTCGGCCTGGATTGTATTTATTTTATTCCAATCTGAAACAATCAAACATTAAATATTAAATTTTAAATTATAAATGCATTTAAACTGATTTTGCGCTGATGAATGACATTAAAACGGAATTTTCAAATCGACCGAACGCCATAATTCAGATCGAATTTTAATCATACGTTCCGCGCAGAATTTATTATTCATAAAATTATCCATCCGTCAATTAAATGGGCCCAATAAAGCTTAATTATTTGGCAAAAAATGCATAATCAACAACGACAAATTTATACAAATTATTATGTGCATACTTAGGCAAATTATAAAATTGACAGTACAGTAAATACATTTAAATGATCATAATATGTTAGGATTACCCGTATATTCAGGTGATCCATCCTCGTACTAATTCGAGTCATCGATGTTTATCAATCTGTCAGATTAGATCTGATACAGAATACATCAGGAGCTCATAAATCGGTCGAGAGTAGTGAAAAGGAAAGGCGAAAAGGTCTTCGATGAGAACATCCCGAAATAAAACAAACGTTTGGTCGACGCGAGGCCCGAAAGGGGCCGTAAAAAGGAACAAAACGGGGCCCACCGCTGCGTTAATGGTCCCACCCGGTCGAAAGAAAGACGCCGTCGTTCGCGCGAGTTTACTCCCCCAAACGACGGGATAAACTCCGGGCTACTTACGCCACTTCCGCGGTTTTAGTCCGGTTTTCCTTTGATCTCGGACAACAATAAAACGTAATGCTCGCTCGTCGAGTATCAAAGGATATTGCATTGTTTATAGCGTACTTAAAAAATAACGTGTACACGGCGAGTGTTATGTAGGTAAGTGTGTAGGTATAGTCATAAAAATTCATCTGGATAAAGGTTTTATTTATTCAACTTCCCAATGTACCTATATATTTCTAATGTAAATAATGTACCTATGTAATAAATTATTGTTATAAAAATATTCCACATGGTAGGTATACATACATATTTGAAATTTTTGAATAGTTATAGTGAAATAATTAACGAAGACAATCAAGTGAAACAGTGAAAATAATTTCAAAAGTGTCTTAATTCAAACATTTTGAAAATCCTACAAAACTCCATCAAAAATATAAAATAATTAAAATAACATTCATAATAATTACCTACTATGTATTTCTTTGTATAAATAAACTTTCTAAAAGGGGGTACTTTTCATTGAACCCCTTCATATTTAAAGTATTTAATAATTTTAAAAACCGTTCCAATAAACATTTACACAGAACATTAATTAAAAATTCCTTGCTACCTACCACTTTATTAAATTTTAATTAATCATATTCTTCAGTGAGCATAAACCACCCTGAAACAGCCGGAAACACGCGAAATAAAATTACAAAAAAAAGATACTTATTCGAGTAATTCGAGAATAACGTCCTTTTAATTAATTTCCGTACAAGTTGACAAATCGCCGTGCCGGAAAAATATCGTACTTGTCGCGAAACTTTACCGCACAACCTCGTCGAGACGGATATTAAATTACTGAAAATAGTTGAAAATTGCGTCTGATTTGCGGAAAGGCGGGGCCTCCCCCGTATTATATAAAAGATGTAAGTTCCCGTTGAAAGGAACACGTTCGCGCTTTGTACGTGCAATGTGCAAGCTGTCATCTTCATTTATATCTTTTAATTAAAAGCTGGAAATTCCGGGAGGAGGCGAGAAGAGTCGGTTCTCCGACTTGCATGTTATATTTTAATACGGGAAGAGAAGTTAATCTGAATTACGACCGAGAGAGAATCGATAAGTAAGTTGGATTTCAATTTTAAAGTTTCGAGTTTATTTGCCTTTAAAATGCGAACAGAAGAGCAATGAGGAAATTAAACCTAAAACGTTTCTCGGTTTTATTAATAACCTGAATAGATTCTTAGCTAAATATATTTTACTCCTCAATTATTAGCATTTTTTAAGTAGGAATTACTATTCCCCAACAAATAATAAAATTTCTAATAAATAATTTAAAATTTAAGATAATTTCTTATTTTGAAAATAGTTCTAATAAAAAATTTATTAACAATGCGTTCCTGCATTGTTGAAAGTAATGAAAAAGTAACAATATTAACACAAAGAGGAAAATGACGATGAACATACAGGAAATGAAAAACTTGGTGTATCCAAACAAACCAATGTTTCTGTCGAAATTTCATCAATAGATTGTCAATATCGGCGTGAAAATATCAAATTTAAAAAATACCAACGTATAAACTAACCAATCAAAAAAATCCCGCGGCATAATCAACTCGAACTCAATTCGCTCCTCTTAGTTTAAAAACAGACTATGGTCGATTATTAACGAAAATTTTTAATGGAAGCAACGCAATACCGATATCGAACCGACCTAATCGTAACTCGCGTTTAATTTCTTTCAGTATCCGTTTACTCGTTATAACCGTGAGAAATAACAAGCGATAGATATCGATAAAAGTTTAATCAACGATACACATAAAATCTAACGACTTTGGAATTGCACCAGTTAACGGTTTTTTTTCCATCGAAATGCTAGTTGAATTCGCTCTTTCCGAACGTACACATCAAGAATATGGTCACGAAGAAAAATCACCGATTAATTCGATCGATTACTTACAAACAAACCGTCAGCAAAAGTGATTAATTGTTTCACCTACAAGGCTTAAAAATAATAGTCGCACGTTGTTTTGCAGTGGTAAATTAAATGGGATTTCTATAGAGTACGAATGGTTGTAATTGTAGTTTCAAGGGGGGTGTTTCACGAACTGTTATTAACTCATATTATGAGTAAATTACTAATTTTATTACCCTATACTCTTATGGCAAATAACAGGTAGAGTTGGAAACATTAAGAACTATAATATGGAAAAGTGGAAGGAATGGTACTAATACTAATGAGAAATATCCAAGAGGACTAATATGCCATTAACTACAACGTTATTTCGATATCAAATATTTTAGATTTTGTATTGAGATTGCATCAGAAAAAAATACATTCTTTTCCCTAATGTATTTTAAATATTTAAGTTGTATATTTTGTGCATTACGCGTGAAAATTTGCCGCACACGCGTTGCCCTTTGTATTGAGCTTGCACCCACAAACATACATACGAAGCTCATAAATCACGGACGATAATCTGTCGGTGCTCAAAAAGCGAACAACGTCAACAGACAGTATTTTTCCCGTAGAAAAATGCCATCTAATTACTCGACCGATCCGGGACCGGAAGGAGGAACAATGGGGCATTTCTGGGAGGAATAGCGCGCGACCGTTTTTATTTTCTCGACCGTTCCGTTTTTGCATGTGCGCGAGAGGCAGGAGCGCGAAATTACGTGTAATTAACTTTACGGTTTTCGGTAATAACGCGGCGAATGAAAGACGGAAACTTGTTGAGGTGAATTTTCGGTGGAAACCTCCGAGCAAAAATTAGCGACGAGGATTTTAAAATTAACGTCGTTTTGCCAGACTTTTAGTAGTTTACCAGAGTAAATTATTTAATTAATTCGACTTATTTACGCGATATCTACTAAAGTGGATTTTTTTGTTATGTTTAATTAATAGAGTATCCATTTAGGTTAGTATATACTAAAATCGGAAAATCTCATCCTACTAGTGTACCCTGATGTCCTTGATAAAGAGTACTTTTAAGAGACAAAATTGGCTCAATGGCAACTTTTAATTGATGTTATTAAATTTCTGGAATTTGCTAAACCTTCTAAGCATATGTGGGTAGAGAAAATGGGATATATTCTATGGTAAATGAAATTCTAACAAAGCGAGCACCTCAAGCATTTAATAGATTTTCATGTTTAGTTTCTTTAGCGAGTGCATGCTTTAATCTTCTCGAGATTAAATCTCCTGTAAATTAATCTCCTCTAGATCATCCTTTGTTTTAATGTAGATATACGTCAAAATAACATAACGTTATAACAATATAATTAATAACAATTGTTTACAAAATGATATTTTTTCGATTCGCTCGATCTGAATTCATCCCGTTGGCAATAATGGTACAAAACACAATGGGGCCCGTTGTGTGTGGACTCCGTGATTACATTTTGATGGGTTTCTATTCCCCCAGGGAAATACCTGAAATTTAATAATTATTATTGCAGTTAGAACTGAACCGTCATTAACGCTTCGTTCGTTCGGCTTATAAAGGGGGTGTTTACGAAATTATCCGACCAGTTTATTTAATTGCTTGAATAATTAGCGTTGTTGATGAGACTATTCTTAGTCACGAATATCAATTTACTTGCTGCAATTATCCCGTTTTCCCGATTGTTCAAAATTCAAAACAGCGCTATCATTAATTCCCGACTATCGCCATAATATAGGGTGTATAGATATACATATGAAAATTGAGCCAGACAAAAACCGTGTAGCAATTTCAGCATAGCGAGAGAATTTATCCGCGGCACGTAAATCAGCGGTCACGGTATAAAATTTCCTCTTACCTGTACTTGGGTGTATTGCAGCCGTAAAATACCGTTAGACCAAAGTTTAGTTTCACTTTGCCCGAGTTTAACGCGATCTATAGGATGTGAGAATATGTCGGACGTAAAAGATGCGCTGCTCTATACAAAGTGAGCTTTCGTCGGGCTAAATGATGATGTTCGCTCGAGTCGCGGTCGATACGCCGCCCTCTCCACCCCCCGGCAAAACTCACCCCTTTCACGGCATTTTTTACGAAAAGGTTGGCCGCCGCGATAAATAAAAACCCTGTATAAATTGGAATGATAAATCATTATATTGTCACAATGGCATTGATTGGTTAACCATCTACTTTGTGGCCTTTGTTGTCCAGTACTTCGAGGATTTATGTTTGATAAAAAGGGTAATGGATAAAGCCTGTACTACAGGATCCGGCATAAAGTTGGATAAAGGTAAGTGTTAAATATGAAAATGAAACGTGAAATGTTCGATTAGAGCCGGCAATTTAAAAAAACGCACCCTCAATATTTGGTTAATTATTAACGTACTAAAAGGGTAAAACTTTGAGAGTGATTGATTTTTTCTTTTAGCTTAACCGGTAATTTG